TTATGAGATCTTTTGATAAGAAATTTTCTTATGTGGGACTATATGATTTTCCCTATTATTTACAAGTTATTGTTGTGAGCACCATATTTTATTTAGGCTTTCAGATGTAAATTAAAAGTAAATAAAAAACCAATAAAATTGACTAAATTAAATAAATAAGGAAAATAGGATTTTATAAAAAAATATTAAGAAAATAAAATAACATCTTCATCATTTAAAAGAATTTTTTTCTTTTTTCATGACCTCTAAATCCTCACAATTATGGTCCTATCAAATTAAATATTATAATTGATTCAAATAATTAAGGCAAAAGTCAAATGAAAATTATCAATGATTTGACGTGATTATAATTGATTAGGTTATTAATGAGAGAAAAAACTTTAGTTAGTAGTAAAAGAAATAGCAAAGAGAAAAGAAGAAGGATGAAGAGAGAGAAGTTTTTTTAAAAAGGCAGAGCATAAAAGTGAAGTTTTAAAAAGTAAGTAATTCTTTTTATCCTCTGACCTTAGGTGCGTGTTTGATGATGTACTCATAGGTTTCTTGTCACTCTTGTCCTTGCTATGCATGATAGCAATATGAGGTTCGTGTTTTAGGGTTCATATAATTATTTACCATTTTAAGTTGCTACTACTAGTGATTGGTACAGTAAATTTTCATGCTGATATAATATAAATACCTCGTGGCTCTTATACTAATTCACAATGTGATCCACTTGTTGAATTCAAAACGATTATGCCTTGTCCACATCCTCAAATTTCACATCCTTTTATCTATTTTGTTTATTAATATGGTTCATATGCATCATGTGTTCGTGGCAAATGGTCTGTGATGAATGGATAATCATGATTATTAATTTCTGCGTGAGATGATGGCACCGAATCTTGGGCTTTGAATTGACACTTCTAGTTTTGTTTTATTCATTGAAATTGCATGCATTTTTTAAAGGGGGTCTTGATAGAAAAATATTCCTATAACCTTTTTATATTTTTTTTAAAAAAAAGAAGATCTAGGAGTGATGTTAAATTATCTTAGGTATTTGATATATTAATGGAATGAGTAATACTAAATCATTATAAATATCAAGTGTCAAATTCTAGAAAATATCAAAATTTATCGGTTTATTTTTAGGATCCATGAATGATACTAAATCACTGTAGATTAATAGAAATAAAATACCATGAGTGGCACCAAGTCATAACAATTATCAATTTTTATACTAAAAAGTTCATCATTAAATTATTTTATAGGGTTATAGGAATTTTATTTTAAAAATTTCTTTAAAATTTGTCATGAGTGATATCAAATCATCATATGCACTTAAAGCATCAATCAGTGGATTATGAGTGATATTAAATCACCACAAGTTTCAAGACTAATTAAATTTTTCTCTCTTGTGCATTATTAAAAATAATAAAATTTTAGCACATTTTAAATTATATCATCAGTGATATTAAATCACTATGGATCCTTTAAAATATCAAACAAAATATTATGAATGACACTAAGTGGCAAAATAATAATAATAATAAAATTATTGGCAATTTTTTTAGGATATACCCTGAGTGATACTAAGTTACCATAGATTTCTAAAAATCTCAAATAAGATACTTTGAATGACACTAAGGCATCAAATTTTATATGAAAATTTCATAATTAAATTATTTTATAGAAAATTCACTTAAAAAATTTCTTTAGGGTTTGCCATGAGTGATACTAAATTACCGTGTATACTTAGAGTGTCAAACAGTGAAATGTAAGTGATACTAAATCGCTGCAAGTTTCAATACTGGTTATTTTCCTTTTACCCAAAAGTTCTTCCTCATGAAATTTTTTATTTAAAAATAAATATAATTATATAACACAAAATAACATTCCCTTCATAAAATAAATTAATAAAAAATTAAAAAAACCTAAATAATAAATAAATAATTTATTTTTCTTTATCTTTTTAATCTTCATTTTTGCATGTGATTAAATGATAATTAAGATATTATTAAAATATTAATTAATTTCACACAATTAATTTAAGGTAACCATTCTTATGAATGGGTGTCGTAGGATACCTAACACCTTTTCCATATACAATTGATTCTAGAATCTTTTTCACATATCATTCTTTTTATTATAAAATTTTTCAAGATTTTCTAAAAACTTTATTAGTGAATCTTATTTTTTTTATATTTATCAACCTTCTCTCACCTAAAAAGGGCACGATTTGAGTGCGACAACTCTGTTTAATTTTATGCTACCTCCATCTTAAATTATAAGATACTTTTAAAGGAATTTTTCTGCCTCAAAATATAAGAGACTTTGAATAGATTAAGATTTCATTAAATGTGTCAATTTTTATATTATCCTTCCTTTCTCTATAATTAATTTTTGTCTCTTTTTTTTAATATATTAAATGATAAATATTTTTAAAAGTTTATATTTTTATTTTAAAAAAATAAAATTATTAAATATATTTAATAAATTTATTAATATGTAAAATTTTATTTAAAAATATTTTATAATTTAAGATGGAAGAAGTATAAAAAAATGGTACTTTTTCGTGTGGAAGAGAGCTCGGAAAAGGCGAGCAAAGCATTACTTTTTGAGAATATCGAGATTTTGTGCCAAATCTGTTTAATTGAAGTAAGCAAAATATGAGTGAGTAACTGCATTTATGACTTGATTTATATCCCAATCCGGCCTATATGGGCAGCTACATTACCATTTGTATCTTAATTAATCCGCTTCTCCTTCTTAAATATTCCCTCTCGTTTCTATTATATTATATTACGTCTTTTTTTAAAAAAATTATTTTTAATATAAAATACATGATAAATTATTAATTGCATTTTTTAATATTTTTGTCAAACTGAATGGGTTTGATTAAGTAATCAATCTCAAATCATTTCGGGTTAATAAAATTCTAGTTTAGCTCCTTGACCAAACCAACTAGGTGATCGGATCACTAGGTTACTGGTACGGTCAGTCTAATTCAGGTTTCTATTCAATGTCTATGGCCATAAGGTTTGGCCGAAGAATTAAGAGTATTAGAGTAATAACTAACCAATATATATACACACACACATATAAAGAGAGAGATTCATTTCTTTTATTTTCAATTTTTCATTTCCCCTTTAATTTGGTTGACATTTTTATAGGTTTGTGGGTACAACCAAGTTTCAAAAATTTTGAAAATATTTTCATAAATTCACGAGATTTATTTATAGGGAGAATGACAAAAATGTTTAAAAGGATCAATTAATTCAACTTAAATTTTAAGTATCAAACTCTAAAAATTTGTAAGTTCTGTTTTCAATTTTATGATTTTGTTGTAATGAATTTGCAACTTATATTTCAAATTTTAATAAAAAAAATAAATTTATTTATTCTTCAACTATGTTAAAACCGAATTTACAAATTCTTAGAGATTGACATTTGGAGATCTAAGTAAAAACCTCTTTATCATTCTCCCTTATTTATAAAAAAAGTCTTTCAAGTAGAACTTATTCATAATTTTTTCTTATATTTATTTTTAGTAGGATTTTAACGTGACTAATTCTAGAATTTCAAATCTCTCGTATCCTTTAGATTGTTCAATCAATAACCTTATTTGTCTTGATTGTTTTCTTAGGAGATGCTTATATTAATCTGCATGACAATTATTATCAAAACAATTTGAAACAGTTGCCCTACTGTTTTTTTTTTTAATTGGAACAGAAGAATGAACAGAAATTAAATTTATTTAACGTCTTGCTCGTCAGTCTGTTCTGTTCATTTGTATATTCATATGCTTATCTCTTGTAATATAGGTAATTTACACAAAAAAAAAAAAATCTAACAGATATGACAAATCTCTGTAAGAAAGTGTCAATGTTAATTGAAACAAAAAACAAACAAAAATTGATTTTTGACAATGTCAAAATTGTCTAATTGTCATGGTCTTTGAACAAATAAATTAAAAAAAGGACTGGATTCATTTTTTTCCCCATCAAGACAAAAAGCACCAAGGGACAGAAATAAAAAAAACAGAATAATACAAGCTAATCAGTATCTTGTCATCTCTGTGATAATATTAACAAGCATGAATTTTTATCACAAATTTCAAGTAAAATTTTAAGTGTAACTTCTAATAAAAAGATGGATAAAATTTACAATTTAATTAGAGATTAAATTATATATTATAGATCAAACCATTAATTATATAACTATTCTATATTATAAATGTTGACCTATTTATTACATAATTTTTTCCAACATATTAAATTACATATTTTATTTTTATTTTTATTATTAACATAATAAATTTATGTTATTTTAATTTTTTTTCACATTTTTAAATATATTTATTATATTATATTAGAAATATATTATTTGGTAAAAAAATTCTAATATATTATTTTATATAACAAAAATTACAAATAATTATAAATCAATATCATTTTTGTTATTGTATATTCAAAACATATTTTAAAAGTACAAATCATTTTTAATCTAAACAACTTTTAATTTACCAAATTGACTTTAAAAAATATATTCAAATATAAATTTTATTACAATAACAAACTTTTACTTTTATCAAATAAACTTTTAACAAATTAAAAATCAAATACACATAATATATGTACTTGAAACTACCGAAGTACCATTCAAACTAGCAAGTAGGGCGTTCAAGCGGTTAAGCCCGAATAGCCCCAATTTGAGGAAAAATACAGAAATGACCGCGTTGGGTCGGATCATTGCACCGGGCTGGCCAGACATTAGGCAAGGAACTAGCAAGTTAGCAACCCATCATATTATTTGACATTCTTTTATTTTTTGAATTAAAAATGAATTCTACTGCTCAAAGAGAGTCAAATTGACATCTATTGTCACTTAATCATTTAGCAACTTTATAGCCTGCATTTTATACGTCTCTAACACAAGCAACCTTCCAGAAATAGCTACAGAAATGAGTTGCATATATTGAGACAAGCATATTTGAACATATTAACGATGGAGACAAGCGTATATTGAGCATGTTTAACTAAAACACTAGAGAATCTTTTATTGGAATACAAAAAGCTTATTTAACACAAGCTAGCAATACAAGAAAACAAAATACAGAAGCTAGATTGCAAGCAAAAGAACTCACCCTAACGAAATGAAAAATACAGAAGCTAGATTGCAAGCAAAAGCAGAAACTACATCTGACCCTCAAGGATGAAATTTGCCAAGCAATAAAGAACTCTGTGGGTAAAGAGTACCACACAATTTTAGTTGCAACTCTCATGGCACAAAAGTTGTAACATGAAAATAGTTTATCTCCTGATTAGTCTCTTTTCAACTCCATTGTAGCACAATACCAGCATGCAAATTTTGAACCAAGGGCTATTTAGACAAAAAGTAATTCAGAACAGCTAAGGCCATGCTTGCAGCAGAAATGAAACATGCTTCTCAGGGAACATTCACTACTTGTATGGACTGCAACATATCAGAGACAGCAATGACAAGGTCACCAGATTTGATCAAATTTCTGGCCTTGAGCAATGAGAAGGTTTTATTGAGGTTGCTGTCCATATCATCGGAAAAGCTAAGGCGAAAGGGTATGAGGCCCCACTGGAGGTTCAGACGCCTCCGTACCGATGAAGTGGAAGTAAAAGCAAAGATTGGGCAGTCTGGACGGCAACGTGACAGCAGAGATGCCATGTGCCCTGTCTTTGTGTAGACAAAAAGTGCATCTACTTCTAAATTATTGGCTGCAAAAAAAAAAAAAAAGTTGAATAAAGATGCATGACCATACAACTTGCAGCAATTCAAAAGAGCTTTTGATTATTGTAATCATCAAATGTTCCTACAATCCTGAAACAGAGAAAATGAATAAAGCATGTGTCTAACTGGAGTCTTAACTACTTAGAGCTTCAAAAAGGAAAAATTTAAAGTATGAACAGAAAGTCCACATTAAACAAACTCATGAACATAGCATAGCAATCCTCATTCTTGGAACATTTCATCACTTCTTAGGGTTGTCGAAGACATTTACAATGCACATCCACCCCCAAAAAAATATCCGCTGGAATACAATAACGCTCATGCTTAGTAATAGACGAGACAGCATAGGAACACACTGTACAAAATAAAGTATGAGTGCACAAAACACTTGCGGTTCGTGTGCATAGATTCCCTAAATCATCAAACCTCTAGATTGGCAATAAATTCAAGTATATTAATTATATAACTATGCTATTGCCATTTCACATAAAGATGTACAGAAGCGAATAGAAGTTTCTTGACACTTTGAGTATGGATGCTATGTCCAAACAAATAAGCATGCGTGCAACCGCATTGGAAAGAGAAAAAACAGCACTAGCATCAATAATACTTGAAAACATCAGAAACAATCTGTGAATGAAAAAGAAAATGTAGACATGAGAGCTGCTTACCCATTTTAGCAGCAGAAATGCAGATCTCTTCAGATATTTTTTCTGAAAAAGAATTCCCAATTGATGGAAGTGTCATAACTTCATGACGTTTTTGTTCCCTCCACCACCTCTCGATCCTCAAACTAACACTCCTTAAAACACTTAGGGCCTTCTCAGGGTATTGGCCCATGGCTGATTCTCCAGAAAGCATTAAAGCATCCGCTCTCTGCCTAACTGCTTCTGAAACATCAGCTACTTCAGCTCTCGTAGGTAGAGGGTATTCAATCATGGACTCAAGTAGCTGAGAGGCAACGATGACTGGCTTATTCAGCTGCCTGCAAAGTTGAACAATTCTCTGCTGGGCTGATGGAACCTGTTCTAAAGGTATCTGTGCGCCCAAATCTCCTCTTGCCACCATAGCCCCATCTGATGCATGAATGATCTCCTCCAAGTTCCTCAACGAGTCAATGCTTTCTATCTTGGCAATGACAGCAATATCACTGCATTACCAAATAACAATAACACGACCAAGATTATCAAAAGCTAATAATTTAATGAACGTAACATTCATAAAATTAAAAAGCTAATGGTATGAAGTTTCAATTCAGCAGCTCATTCTTTTGCAACAATTACAGTCACTGCACCACCAACACCATAAAAGTAACTCAGCTATCAGAAGTAAATTTTCATTTCAAAGGAATAAGGTTCCACCTTCACAAATAAATGGTTGGGTAAAAATATTTATTGTTCCAATTGCTGGCATCTGAAACAGGTTGGTTCCTAAACAAGATTTTGGCAACAATGTACCCAGATAGCGATGATTATTTTTAGCATATTCAAATTATCATTACATGAGATTAATTTGTAAATCATGTACTTACAAAGTTTTACCCTTCTGGTTGCCTTCGCTTTTGTTGCTAATTTGTTCTTAATCTGAGTGTTAGCAAATATTTGTTGCAGCACAATTTTAAAACTCCAAAATAAATTTACTGATCTCATCAAAGAGCAATGGCACATTTTTAAGCTTTTAGAAGTTCTTCTGCATCATCAAACATGAACGTTCCCGTTCCTACTGGTAATTTTCAATATAACTTTCTTTCATATTTTGTAGTGCCACAATTCATTACATTGGCAGAATGTAAGAAATCCTAATTTCCAACTGAACATCTGACATGTGTTCCTTATGCTCTTCCTAATGATTCAACAGGATCCCTACTCTAGTTGAATAAAGGTGCCATAGATATTCTGCCATGGGGACAGTATGTTCCTATAACAGTTTTCTTAGAGTAAAAGATCCTATAAATGGGGCAGTGAGTGTCCAATACAATGGAGCTGAGTAAGAAATATGTCTGTCATTTCAGTCCAGTGACAGATCAGATGAAATCAATACAGGTTTCTTTTGCCTTCAGACTGACAGATTCTCTCAAAATATTTTGAAAAATACAAGTAAATTAAGTGATCACATGTCAGCTCTGTCACCCACGTATATGATAACATGATCCAGTCATGAGATTAATAACAAAGAAGGCATACAAAAAATAGCTAGTACAAGTAGTCAGTAATAAACAAATTATACTACTAACAATGTATAATATAATATAAACTTTTCACAAACATACCTATCACGAGATCGCGCAGCAATATAACTTTTAAGATGTTTAATAACTTCAGCAGACTTGACAAACGATATAGCAATGAAATCAACACCTTCAGCAATACCAAAATCAATGTCCAACCAATCCTGGATATCGATAACAGTTTCAGAATCAGATAAATGAAAAAGTAAATCAACTAAGGTAGATAATTTTCTGAAAAAAAGTTTATTAGAGCACCAGACCATCAATAATCGAAGTCCAAACAAAACTCATTCGAGGACAAAGGCCCCAGAACATGTACAAAAAGATATTATCAATGGTCCACCATACATGCATCACGCTTCACATTGATTGATTATGATTAACCACATGCCTTATTGTGGCTGATTGGCTATTTCTCACTTAGTCCATGTTACACACACACACACACACACACACACACACACACACACAGCAATAGATGAAAATTTAACCAGGTACTGATTCTAATTTGTAGGCCTTTAATTAGTCATAACAAGGCTTTAGCACCTTCTTTTGTACTCTGAACTATGAATACAGGATTTCAAGTAACTCAATATCATACTAAATTTCATCGGAAGGGTTTTCTTTCTTCCTTCATATTTTATAATAATCAGTAAAAATAAATTTTTTTGTTTCATTATTTACAGGCATTAAGCTTCCAAATAAAAAATCATCTCAATATATTGCAAGGACTCAATAGTACTACCTTGGATGATATCACAAACTAACAAGCTTCAGCTCTTTCCTTAAGACATGTTAACTAAAAAATTTCATAACACATAAACTTCAAATCTCTCCTTGTATTTGACCACAAAAAAAGAAAAAAAAGAAAACATTTAACTGAAGAATATGAAAGAATGGCCAACCTTTGAAGAAATTGTAGGAAGCATAGCATTCCTCTCTCGGACTAGACTCCCATTTCTCCAAAACGTCAGATTGGCCCTTGGCAGCATCAATCCAGGATCAGTACAACGACACTTAACATCTGGACCAATCTTTTCAATCACATCAAACCTAACCATTCCTCCATCTACTAGGAGTTCATCACCAACTCTGACATCTGTGGCGAATCAGGTTATGGTTCAAAGCAGTTTAACAATATCATCCAAGGTTAGCAAGAAAAGAATCAACATCAGGACCCAAAAGAAGCTAAATGTTTCATTAGATGTTTCATAAAGAATAACCTTCAGCAAAACCATCATAGTTTACATTGATGGTGTGTTCCGGAAGAGTTGAATCAAAGGCTCTAACACTGAAAGTCCAAACTTCACCATCCTGGGCAAGATTTTTGAACCACAATGAGTTTCACGATGGAAAAATTAACATTTGTCAATAAAAGCTCATAAATTTGCAGGGAAAAAAACATACAAGCTCATAAATTAATCAAACGTCAATGCAACATGTACAGCCCCAAATCACTGTCGTTTAAAATGAATTTAAGCATGTATTTCCCTGATTCTGACCATTGTACATGATCAAAACAATTGGAACACGAAAACAAAACGAAAAGGAAAATGAATGCACATACTCCACACCAGATGGATTGAATATGGAATTAGAGGAAGCATTAAGCTTCAAATGTTGAAGTTACTTCATCATTAAATTTCAATCGAATAATCAACCATTAACCTTACGTACAAGTATCCAAGTTGTTTACCAGTACTACAGTCATAGTTGTTCAATCATGATAGGATTGCTATATGATCAACCAAAATTTCCACAACATCCTTACAATAACTTAAAGACCATTAGAAAAAAGTCATTGCAGCACTGGACATAAATATTTGTTTTCTTTCACAATTTATCAGCTATAGTTGACACTGATAATTTAAATTTTATAGTACTTTAAACCAAAAAACAAAGAAGTTATACAGTAGTGGCAGATCCAGAACTCAGGAACAGGGAGTAAAAATTAAAAATAAATTGACAGTCTGTGTGCAAAAAAAAAATTATTAAAATAACTCCATACTTGCTAACTTAAAGTTGAGAAGAGATCGCCCAATTATGTGAAGAAACTAGAAAGTGCCCATAGACAAAGCTAGCAGCTTATTCATTGGAGGCAAATTATACAGAGATGTGCACCATGTAAACAGACAAATTTGAAAGAAGTAAACCCATAAACATAACTCTGATGCAATGTGAAAATTTCAACTGAAATGATGTCTTAAATTTAAAAAAAAAAAGACTGCTGTCCATATCTATAATGGACACAGCCAGTATTACTAACAGGCAAACATGTAAAAAGATGTAAAATGTAAAGACAACTCAAAGCAGTAAAAATATATGAAATATTCCTAAGGCACTAATATATGAGATTTGAAAAAGAACCTGCTCATAAATCTATATTGAGAACTTAAAAAAAAAAAAAAAGTTGTGGGGTTTTACATAATTAAGAATAAAAACGACAATGTGCCAATTATGATTGTCTTGAACTTCAAATATTATAGACAGCCAACCAAAACAAATAAGTTATAACTGTATTGCAGTGTGCAAAAGAGCTATTGTTCCCACCAATTATAGTGATGCCATGATTTTAAATAGCATGCCAAATGCACTATGACTTTCTTAAAGGAAAACCTAGACACTAAGTGGAATCTCCTTGGTGTCCTTCCAGAAATCTTCATTCTTACACTTCATTGTCTTGTATCCATTTATCACCCACCATAATAAAGTACTCTGCCAAAAAACCCAGAATACTAAACAAAACAGCGCTATTACATAGAAGATCATATCATATTTAATCCACTTAACTCAAAAACCAAAATAAGTCCCAGGCATGTGAATCAGAAACTTGAAAGTACTACAGACAAAACAAATAGCAAACAAAAAGCATACAATCACAGGATTGAGGACCTAAGCACCAAAGAATTTGGAATTTACGCCACCTCTGCTTTGGCTGAAGAAGCACCACCAAGATCGCCCATATGGATTTCACTACCCTCTGTGTCCATCATTATAGCCACAGCAAAACCCTTCTCCTCGTTGAGCCTGCGCACGCGGTCGATCACCATTTTATGCCACTCCAGCGTACCATGACACATGTTGATTCGCGCCACATTCATCCCTCCCACTGCCAGCGCCTCAAGCTGCTCGAACCCACACGTCGCCGGTCCAATAGTGCAGATAAGTTTGGTCCGCCTCGTGCTGCGGAACCCATTCTCCTTAAGCTCAGTCTCGGTCACCGCATCAACCTCAATCGAGCTCAAATCGGAGACCAACCCCTGAGACGGAGTGACCACAAGCCCAGCACCAGCTCCATTGTCAGACAACAACGCCTGGGAAGACAACAACGAAGGATCGAGATCCGAACCCGACGAGGCCCGAATGGACAGATTCGAGGCGAAGGTCACCAGAAACCGAGAATTCAAGTTCCTGGGCAACGAAAGTTTCGAAATTGAATGGAAAGTGTTGTTGGGGAATGCACTGCAATTCAGGGTCCGAGTAGACGGTGAAATGAAGAGGTGAAGGGACTGAGACATGGCGCTAGGAAGAGGGACAGAGACAAGCAAGTTAAGATTTTGAATGCCAATTGGTGAAGTTAAGGCCTTTGAAGTAGGAAAGTATAAGAAACAACGATGAGGGGGGCGGAGATAACGAAGAAGGAGAAACTGTAAGAGAAGTGAGATTAAGCTTCGAAGATGTCGCCTTTGTTAGGGAATAGTGAAGGCATTAAGACAAGGGACGCCCGTTTGGAAAATGGTTGAACGAGGAGAATTAAGAGAGGTTTTTGGTTTTGACCCAAAAAAAAAAAAAAAAGAGGAGAGGGTTTTGATCGTCCGATGGGGACCTGATTGCAACGTTCCAGACTTCGACGAGTCTTTTCTGAAAATGAAGAGACTCGAGAGCACGATCCATTTGTATCAAGTGCATTTTTATTTGATATTTGTATTTCTGGCCAAAAAAAAATTTGATATTTGTATTGATTTGAATATTTGATGACACATAACTCCTGAATATTCAGTATTATTTGTGCTATCATATTTATTTGATATTTTTTAATCGTCAATGAAAATTCATGACCAATCTATATGAATATCAACATGTTTTTTCACTAACATTTAATGTCCAATTTATAAAAAAAGAACTTATCAAATTCTTGAATTTTCAAATCTCTCAATTTGCAACTTTTTCTGACAAATTAATAAATAAAATTAACAAAATGATAAGTTGAGTTAAGGGTTTAAAGATTACTACTTTATATTATAATAAGTTAGTGATTTGGACACTAAGCTTGTCACACATGTAATTTTTTATATTGTATGATTAATGTGTTTCGGTTGCTTGGTAGTCGATGTTTTTTTTTTTTAAAAAAAAATAATAAGCCAAGTGGCTTGGATTCACATCACTTCTTGACCACCCTGAAAATTAACCAATGCCAAAGCTATGATGGCCAACGAATAGGTGATGGCGGCTGTGTGAGGGTGGACTTCAAAGAAAAGGAAAATGTCAATATAGGAAATCTATACAAACATTAATTATACTTCCTGCCTTTAAAAATGCATGACATTTTTTTAGAATTGAAATGTTTTAAGATATAAGATATTTTTAATATTTTAAAATATAGTTAACATATTTTTATTAAAAGTGTCCCTAATAAATAAGTCATTTTTTATTATTTAAAAGAGAAACATCTTATTAAATAAGGATAAATATAAAAAATAATATTAATTGGGAGATAACTAACTATTTTATTGGAGATGTGATTTGATTAAAAATACCATATATTTTTTAACGGAGAGAATAATTATATGCCTTAAATTATTGAAATTATAATAATAGACTGTAGTCCTTTGCTTACCATTAAAAAAGATACAAATAATCAGTTGAAAAATCAACAAAATGTACTTTAAATTATTTGTAATGTTAGTTTAAAATTTATAAGAGTCAGTTATAAATTTTAATTTTTTTATTGTTAATATAAAGAAATAAATATATCACTTGAGAAATTAATAAATATATTAAGAATTATTTGTAACGTTAATTAAAATTTTATGAGAATGAATTGTGAATTGCAAGTTAATCACTTGTGATTTTTTCTATCCATATATAAATAAATTGCTTCAAAATCTACAACATATATTAAAAATTATTTATAATTTCAGTTGAAAATTTATAAGAGCAAATTGTGAATCGCAAGCTATAGGTAAATCTATAAAATACATTTTAAATTATTTATAATTTCAATTTAAAATTTACAAGAGTTTGTTACAAGGACGGAACCATGTCTGGCATTGAAGGGCAATTGACCCACCACCCAAGAAAAAATTACTTAAGTTGGTCCTAAGTAATTTTAATTGGACCCTAACAAATTCCAATTTTCCCCTCACTTAAAAAAATTTCACTTATCTATCCTCTTATAAAGTTTTACTCACTCTACTGGAAGAATTATTATCTAAAACTAATATATATATATATATATATATGATCTTAAATAGCAACAGTTTTAAAATGGAAAAGTAATAATTAAGAAAAAAATTTCTCAAATATGCAATCTCTCCATTTCCTTATCATCATTTTTCTTTATGATTAGGGAATAGAAGGAAAAATGATGATAAGGAAATGGAGAGGTTTGTGTCCAAAATTCTCTAACATACAAAAGAGGTATACAAAATTTATTTAATGAAAATTGAAAAAATGATTCTAACATATATTAAGAAAATTGTTTATATAAAGATAGTATTTTATGTTATTATAATGTTATGCTTGATGTGTTGTTTTTAATATTTAATTTTATTAACTTATATCATAATATAATTTAATATGTATATTTTGTGGCAAAAAAATTAATATGTATATTTAAAATTATTTTTTATAAAATTATAAATATTTATTTCAAGTATAAATTATTCCCCCATTGATTTTTTTTTTTTTGCATCCATCACTGGTTAATTGTAACTTCTAAACTAATCACTTATAATTTTTTTTTGTTAATATGTGGATAAATGGCTTGGAAAATCAACAAAAGATGCTTGAAAATCTTTTTAACATTAATTAAGAATTTACAAAAAGTTAATTGTGTATCTCAAGCCAACCCAACAAAAAATATTTTATTACAAATAAGGACCATAGTCCATTATTGAGATTTTAATAATTTAAAGTCTATAATTTGTAATTAATATTCTTATAAGAACTTTAATTATCATCTCCTTTAAAAAAATATATAGAAGGATGTTATTGTCATTTCATTTCAATGTATTTGGTTGGACTAAATATCTTTAGGGAAAATCTTATATAATTAGCCTTATATACTTAAGATATTTATTTTCAATTAAATCAAGACATGAGTAACATTTATAGGTTATTTATTAGATAACAATTTTTTTGGTAATCTATAATAAATTTTTGTTATTAATATTATTAAGAAAAAATTACATATAGCTCTTGTGGAGCTGACTTATTTATAAATAAGTTATACAAAATTTAAAAATCACAACTAAATTTCTTAAAACCTAAGTGTAATTTGAAATTTAGATAAAAAATAATAATATCCCTATTAGATGTATATATACATTACATTAGTTAAATAATTTATAACTATAACCTTAACTTTTTATAATTGTAATTTCATATATCCAATAATTAAATTAAATTAATTAGTTTAACTATTGAATATATGAAGTTATAGTTGTAAAAAGTGAGTTATAGTTATAAATTATTAATAAAGTAGTTGTAAATAATTAATGTTAAACTTTATTAGTAACAAATGATTGTTTAAATATTGAATATGTGAAGTTATAGTTGTAAAAAATTAAAATTAAAATTATAAATTGATGATAAAATAGCTGTAAATTAATTATTTAATTGATGGAATGCATGTTTAATAGAGATATTATTATTTTTGCAGTCTAATTTTAAATTATACTCAAGTCTTAAGAGACTTGGCTATGGTTTTTAAATTTCTAGGATTTAATTATAAATAAGTTTGTTCTACAAAACTTATACGTAATTTTTCCTATTACTAATATATCAAAATTCATTTATTTTTATTTTATTAAAATATATATATATATATATATATATTAAGTATACAAAGTTAAATATATAAATTTTCCTCATATCTTTATCATTTCTTTGATAATGAACTTTTAATCCTTCAACTTTGTATTAACTATTAATTTAATTTTTTTAATTTAATTTCTATTGATTTGGTGTAATTATTGTGATAGTTTTTTAAGTTTTAAAACACAAATTAATCTTTAAATTAATTTAATATATAAAATATGTCAATGACTTGACATATATGCAGAGCTAAACGAGAATAAATTAATATTCAAATCAGTTTAATTAAAATAGTATCTTACATTGTACTTGTTTTTGTTTTTGTTTTGTTTTTTTTAACTTTTGAGTTCGTATTTGTGCACACACCTACGTACATAAATAAACATAAACACCTCAATGTGGGATCAAAATTTAAGAGAAGTGGGATTGCCACTGGGATAAGCAGCGTTATCTTTTGACAACTCTCCTTTCTCATTTGCAAGTGAAGAAATGAGAACGTTTGATCTTAAAAAATAATAAAAAAGTATTTCACTCATTTTTATACTGAAATAATTCTAAAAATAATAAATATAAAATAATGAGTAATATTAAAATAAAACATAAAATCCATAGTGATGCATAAAAATATAAAATAACTCACACTATTTCCAAGTTATAAATAAAAGATCTTTACCCCCAAAAATAAATAGCTGTTAAGGAAAAAATATACATGTGTAATATAGCGCAACTTATTTCAAAATACCGACAATTAGGACTATATAAGAATATTGATGATAATTATAGACATTAAATTATTAAAATTTTAATAAAAATTTTGGTCCTTACTTGTAATTAAGAAAATGTGAATACTCATTTGAAAAATCTACTAACTATAATTAAAATTATTTATGATATCAATTGAAAATTTATAAAAGTTAATTGATAATTTTAATTTTTTGCTGTCAATGTGCAGATAAAACACTTAAAAAATTAAATAAATATACTTGAAATTATTTGTAACATTAATTGAAAATTTATGAGAGTCAGTTATAAATCACAAGCCAATTGTTTATGATTCTTTGCTTTTAATATATAGATAAATTATTTAAAAAATCTACTAAATATATTTAAATTATTTATAACATCAGTTGAAAATTACAAAAGTTAATTGTGAATTGCAGGTCAATTACTTATAATTTTCTTGTTATATGATTACATAAGCCAACTTTACAATAAAACAATAAAATGAATGCAAATATAGAAAATATATACTCCCTAATGCTTTTTTTTTTAATACAAGAACATGGACAAAGCCGTGAGAAAATTATAAAGGTTAGATCAAATTATAGTTCAAAATGAACTTATTATAAGTGATTTATTATAAATAATGAGATAATAATTTTTATGAGGGGTTTGACATTGGAGTCCAGAGGATTACATATATACTTCCTAATGCTTTGCGTTTGCTAGGTGTCAACAAGGGGGAACAACGTTGCTTGCTGACGTGGCACGCAATTGGAAAAGCCTGTTTTTGTTAATCACATTCGCGTTTGTTTTTTTTTTTTTGGGAAAAAAATTGAAATCCATAGTGGGCTTGTAGTATAAAGCAACTAACAGGCAGAAACTTACAATAAATCTACAATATGGAATTCCAAAGCACCCAATAACATCAAAATTTTCAAAGCATGATTAAAATTAGACAAAATTAACCATTGTA